CCAGGAAGCTTTCTCAATTCAAATGTCTGGATCCGCAGTGATTTTGAGTCTTATATCGACAAAGCCTTGTATCGCTTGGAAACATGCAAATGGTAACCGATGAATGGGTCGTTTGGTTCCATCGTTAGCCTGTAATACCTGAAACCACCAACCAAACCAAACGACCCATTCATCGGTTACCATTTGCATGTTTCCAAGCGATACAAGGCTTTGTCTATATAAGACTCAAACTCACTGCGGATCCAGACATTTGAATTGAGAAAGCTTCCTGGAGAGGTGGCGAAACGTCTTCAAATCTTGGAAACCAAGTGCAGTGGATATTTTTTGACTACTACTACTGACTACAAAGTCGGGTCTTGCCTGGGCTTGTTCATCAACACCAATAGGATACATCTTTTTCACAAAGCCATTCTAAATATATCCTACACTTGGTTGTGTATATTATTTTAAGTGAATGTAACCTTCAAAGTTCACCAAAAATGTCATTCCAACTGCGCCTACTTTTTACTACATTAGTTGAGTACATCTATTTTTACAGTAATTCTCATACTTAAGTACAATCCATTTCAGATACTTTAAGACTTTTACTCAAGTAACATTTCAGTCACTGACATGGACTTTAACCAGAGTCGTATTTTGGAGAGGTACTTATACTTTTACTTGACTCTGAGATTTCAGTACTTTATACAACACTTGTTATTTGTGTCCATAATATCAGGATGGCTTCAGGAGTTGGGAAAGCGTCTGGAGACACCATACATCAACAGCACCATGGGTGGACCCTCCATTCCCAGCGCCTACGTCGCCTCCCTTTATTTCACCCTCAGTAGCCTTACCAGCGTAGGTTTTGGCAACGTTTGTGCAAACACAGATGCAGAGAAAATCTTCTCCATCTGTATTATGCTGATTGGAGGTGAGTTTAAAGCATGGACTGAAATGTTCCAAATTGACTGAACTCTCTAAGATCACTTTTTACTGTGCTTCCCTTCCCATCAGCCCTGATGCATGCAGTGGTCTTTGGCAATGTAACAGCTATTATCCAGCGCATGTACTCACGGCGTTCACTCTACCACACCCGCATGAAGGATCTCAAGGACTTCAACCGCGTGCATCGACTCCCTCAGCAGCTAAAGCAGAGGATGCTGGAGTACTTTCAAGCTACCTGGTCGGTCAACAACGGCATAAACGCAAATGAGGTTAGTGTGAAAAAAGTTTTAATCAAAGTATTCAATAGTGTGCATGAGAATTGGCTCTGGTGGGTATTTCTTTTTCATAGAATGTCTTTAATCTATTTTGTAATTGAAAAGCAAATGAAGTTTTTACATTTGAGCGTTATAGATAAAAAAAAAATCCTTAAATGTTAAAAAAAATAATCCACTGGTCACTGGACTTGGTTTCCAAGATTTGAAGACGTTTCACTTCCCCTCCAGGAAGCTTTCTCAATTCCTGGAGGGGAAGCGAAATGTCTTCAAATCTTGGAAACCAAGTCCAGTGGATTGTTTTTTAAACTTTTACGGAATGACTATGACCTGGATGACTGAGAATCTTCATCAGTATAAAAAAAGAAAAAAAAAGAAAACAATAAATCCTCTGTTGGTGCTTCTCCTTTCAGCCATACAATCCTTTTAAACCTTGAACACTTTATACTCTATAGTCTTTTTCCATTTCCTCAAGTGGATGTCATTTTGTAGCAAACAGAATTTCAATGACAGAATCTACTTTGGAGAAGTTCCCAGAGCTGAGAAGGGGAGAATACTCATTAACAGCCCCATCATCATCTCTTTGGATAATTAATTCCTAGTTGAAAGCGATAAACACAGATAGACACAGCCACTGGTTTCTGTGAAGATGCTATTTCTAAAAGGATGTGTTTTCTCACATGATACATCATGATAGTGCAGCAACCTTTAAAAGAACAATCTGGCTTGTTGCAATGTCAAACATAAAAAAATATTTTCAAACTAAAGCTATAAATGTTGGCAGAAATTACAGTAAAAGCTTTTAAGATTCTGTTATACTGCTCCTATGGCATACAGCATTTTAATTATAATATGAGAAACTGTCAGATTGACAGGGTTTCTATTCTTAGGAACGTAGATTAACATATTCCTGCAGGTCAGTTGGCTTTAAGGAGTTTAAATTGCTCATACTTACAGAATATATTAATTTGACTGGAGTTTTGCTGAACAGAAAAAACAGCAAGTAAAGATGTGGAAAAAATAAAACTCAGCTCTTTGCTCCTTTTTTAAAACTATATTATTGCTGTTAAGCAATCAATTAATGATGTAAAATCATAAACAAAATAGAATTTTCCATTTAAATCTTAGAATGCAAGTAAAATATCTAAATAAATATATTAAATTGCATCACCTAATGAGAACTAATTCATTTTAAAACATATTTTAACCTGTATATAACTGTCTGAAGAGCAGGAACAGCTAACTATTCTATTTGTAGATGTTATATTAGTGAAATTTGCACCACTATCCAAACTTTCTATCCGACTGAACTGGAATCTACTGTGCTTTAAAAGGGCAGATAGTTACAACTACCTGACACATTAAGGAGGAAATGTAGCTATTTTATTTTGGTGTATTGGAGCAGAAATGCATCTAACAGTTGAAGGACAGAAGCTCTGGAGAATTAGAGCCTCCTCTTATGAACAAA